AACACTTTCATTCCTCAAATAAAATCAAAATTTTCATGGTTAAAGAAAATTCGACTTTCATATTTGTGAGAACTATTGTTCCATATCTAGTCTGAATCCTCCTGCTATTCCGCTTTATTATATCTCATTGCTCATAAGCTTTTAAACCATCTCTCTTTTTTTTTTTCTTGTTTTTTTTTTCTAGTTATATTTTTTCCACTATTCAAACAAAAGCTGCAAATCAGTTATTTTCTTGAAGCCTGTTCTCTGCAGCATATTCGTTTAAAGACCATAAAATACAGTCTTGTTACTCTCATATACACTGATTTAGCAGTGTTCCCTTGGTGAAGTTAGGCTTGTGCATTCCCAAAATTTCCTGGTCTTCCTCACTTCTGTAGCAATCCCAGCATATCATGAATGCCAATTATTGTGGCGATCCTTTCGGCACACAATTCCTCAAATGAAGAGCTTAAGAAGTGATCCTCCGTACAACTCTTTTCTGCTTGAGTAGTTTTTCTTACTCTTGAAAATTCTTTGATCACTTTTTTATACTTTGGTTCTATATATCCCTTTCGCTCTCATAAATTGGGTAATACCGTAATATGGAGTGCACGAGTGGCAAATTGTAATAAACAAGCTGTATCTTCGAAATGGGGTTTAATACAATAATACTCCTGTCAGATAATATCACAAAACAAAAACACTTATACTCAGCACACAAGCTGTATTATTCAAGATTTCAGGTGATTGCTTTGCTGTGCTTAGCTAAAACACGGTTGTTATCGCCTTGTTTATGCAAGAAATTGCCATCTTTCAGAATATCACATGAAAAATTTGCTTCTTCTGATCTGATAATTTTCATTAAGAATTCCAAAAAATTGTTGTGTTCTTCACCAAATGGACCCACGTAATAAAGTTTTGGCATGAAATAAACTAGGTCATGAGCCATTGCAATAAGTATGAAAAAGTAAATAACTTAGCTTTTGCACTCGCTGGTAAGACTGCTGGTTTTTTGTACAACTGCATTTTATTGCTAACAAGCTGTTGTCTTTGTTATTATTCAGGTCATATTAATCTAAAGTAATAGTGACTCTTGATTACCCTTGAAATGGATAGTGCTTTAAGATATTAAGAATATCTTTGATCAAAGGTTGCTTATAATAAGCTAATTTTGCAGTTGGCACTCTTGGCAGGAAAATTAAGCCATTTTATTGTTCCTTGGGTGCATGTTGAAGCTGTTATTTATTTATTTATTTATTTGTCATATTATTTTGGGCTCTCTTTTTTATTTTCCTTGTACCTATTGTCTGTATAAAAATGAAGTGCTCTCTATACCTTATGCAAAAGCAATGTGATTTTTCTAGAATATGAATCAGTCACATCTCTGTATACAGCTAGTATATGTGCTATAGGTTTTTTAAGTTTCCACGTCAATACATTTATACATTTTTCTTGCTTTTATGAGGAAGTGTTGGTGCTATGAGTTGATTTGTTTATTCTTTGCATGAAGATTGTTGGTCATGAGATCATCGTTGTTGATGACGAAGATCCTGCTGATGCTGTAATCATTGGTGAGAAAGCTGCCTCTAATGGTAAAGGAAAGGTAAAATTGTTTCCAAGCTAGTAATTCACATAGTCAACCTTTTCTTCATTAGGTTTTTTTTTTTCTTTTTCATTTTTTTTTTATCTTTTTTTTTTTTTTTTTTTTATAATTTTTTATAATTTTTTAAAATTTTTTAAAATTTTTTTTATCTTTTTTTTATTTTTTATTTTATGTATTTATTTATATTTGGGTCAAGGTGGAATTTTGAATTTCTTTCTTTCTTTTTTTTTTTTTTTTTTTTTTTTTTTTTTTTTTTGTGTAATTGTACAATCCACAGAAACCTATGCTTACTGGACATGAGGTGATCACCCTCGAGGATGAGTTTGATGGATTTGATTTTGGTGATGTATCCTATGATGATCAGTATGCTATGCTGCAATCTCATGTTGATAGTGTTGGATTTGATCTTGTTGATGTATCCTATGATGATCAGTATGCTATGCTGCAATCTCATGTTGATAGTGTAGACATTCCATCTAGAACAGAGGCATTTGCCCATTGGAAGCCAGCTTCAGCCGCAATTGAGAAACATGCAAAACCTGCGAGCAGTTCTTCTTTATATGGCTCACACACTTACTCTAAATTACAATATAGTGGTTCCAAGGTGGATCACTTCAATTCAACGAGTTCTCATAAACCTCACCAAATTAATGACTATTTGTCCGTGTATCCTCGTCATGAATCAAAGCGTTCTTCCTCCAGTCTTCCAACTTCTCAGAAGCATGCCCAAACTAGTGGCAATGTTCTACCAGTGCCTCAATATCTATTACCTGTGAATTCAGCTACTTTGAATTTTCCGCATATGCCCTACTCTTATGGAAGTGCATATGCCCAACCGTCACAACATTCCATCCATGGAATTCAAGATCCTATTTTAACTAGTGCATTATTTACTAACAACAATTCAGGGCTCGAGGGAATATGTGCAGACATATCACCACCCTCTTCTGATGGGCAAGGCAATTCTAGTGAAAATTCTATTTTGAAGAAGCTGGAACAGTTTAAGAAATTTGACACCCTAGAGGATCACGTAGGTCATTTTTATGAAATGAAAAATGTTTCTTTGAAACCGGTGAGGTTATGGATACTTGTGCTTGTATTTCTGTCCTTACACTTAGCAATAACCTTATAGAGCAGCTAATGATTTATATTGTTGTTTTTATTCCTGATTCTGAATAGTCCAAAAGCTGGGTAAATAAAATTGCGGATGAGTGGAGGATGCTGGAAAAAGATTTGCCAGGTTCATTTTGACTTTGTACTTGTGTTAAAAACTTAAAATTATGTCAGTTATCATCAATATATTAGAGGTTTTTTTTTTTTTTTTTTTTTTTTTGGCATTTCGATCATGTTTGAAATTGCCACCGAATCCTGCAAAAAATGTTCAGACCAATTCTATTAATACCATGCAGGGGCAGCTTATTAATAGTTTAATACCTTTGTCTTGAATTTACGTTATTTACTGATTGCCTATTTTCTTATCTTCTGCAGATACAATATTTGTTAGGGTTTATGAGGCTAGGATGGATCTATTAAGGGCTGTCATTGTGGGAGCAGATGGAACACCCTATCATGATGGCCTCTTCTTCTTTGATGTTCATTTCTCTTCCACCTATCCAAATAAGCCACCAGTATGTACTTGATTATGGATATATTGTCAGTTCCTTATTTTGCTAAATGTATCTAACAATGTGGAATTTTATTGTCCAGCATGTAAATTATCATGCACATGGCCTTCGAATGAACCCTAATCTATATAATTGTGGCAAAGTATGCTTAAGTCTTCTGGGAACTTGGAGTGGTTCAAGAGATGAGAATTGGCGACCTAACAAATCAAATATGCTACAAGTCCTTGTCTCAATACAAGGGCTTATCTTAAATGAAGAACCGTATTATAATGAGCCTGGTTTTGCACATTCCAAAAATACCTCTCATGGCATCCAAAGGTCCAAGGATTACAGTGAAAATGTATTTCTTCTATCGCTGAAAACGATGCTTTACACATTAAGGAACCCACCAAAGGTAAGGTTGTGGCTATAGCATAGCTTACGTTTTTTTTTCAGGGAAGAAATTCTAGTGATGTTGGTAGTAGATTAGTTATCCCTTTCTTTATAATTTTTTAATTTTTATTATAGGGTATGAGCTAGTGTTATGCTGTAATCGTCCTATTATTTCAGGCTTATAAGTAATCTCGATGTAGTTGATCTTTTGTATTGCACATTGCAAGGCACTTATCAACATGGCATCTTGTGGAAATTTTTCATTAATGCTTACTTTGTATTATGAAATGGCCTTGATATTGGTTGATACTGTCCATAATATGAGCAAGTTTGTTATGTTAAACAGGTGGATTTTCTGATATGAGATTGAAAAATAATGTATATGTTTGTGGATTTACATAATTGTTTCATTTACTTGGAACAGACTGAACTTTACCCCAACTTTCACCTTCAATGTTAATTATAATGGTAAATTCTATAATTCAGCTGAGATTGTGATTGAACTCCATGATGGTTATTGTGGACTTTGTATGTTGTGTAATGAGGATTTAGTTTTCAAAAATTTAATACAGCCTCTTTGTTTTGGCTGCAGTATTTTGAGGACTTAGTTTATGGGCATTTCTACCAGCGTGCTCATGATATACTGGCAGCATGTAGAGCGTACCTGGATGGTGTTGAAGTTGGGAGTTTTGTCAAAGGTAAAACCCAAGCTACCCAGGGGAAGAAAAAGACTTGCTCTCAATCAATCAAGATGAGTTTGCCAGGCCACATCAAATCACTCGTGGAGGCTTTTACCAAAATTGGTGTCAAGGGATGCGAGAAATATTTAGTCCCTGGGGACAAAGGCACTAAGAGATAACCGACCAGATGTAGCCGACTCCCCCCTGGATGGGCAAATGTTGACACTCGGAACATTTCTATGGGAGCTGAGCTGCAATTCTGGCAACCCTTATATTTGGAAATTGGAAGTTGGGATCAGGGAACCTCGGTATATATTCTCACTAATGCTAATTAGTTTTGCCTTTTTGTCACTGTATATAGGTGTAGTTGATGTTGGGGATAGCGTTAGATCAGAATATGGCTTTTAGAGTACAGCTTATTAATCGACATGCTTCTTCTTTTGGTCAGAACTTAGTTATCAATAATTTAGTCAGTTAGCTGCTCTCTAACACTGAAAAGATTAAGCAGAAGAATTAGAGAATCAGAGATGTTATTTTGTGTAGCATTTCCTTTTCTATGTTATTGGTTTGGTGTTCTGTGAGATCTAGTTTCTTGCAGTAAAAGAGTCCTAGTGATCATTGGAGCTGGAAAGTAAGTTTTTCTGCTTCTGAGAGTCGCAATCTGAAACAAGCTGATTTCAATTGCTGAATTTGTTAATGTTTCTAGTGATGAAATCCAATTTTAATCTGATCTGTATTTCATGCTTGTGTCTCTTCTCTTGAATATGTTTGTAGTTAATCTTAGGAAGATTGGCGGTGAATATAATCCCAAATTTTTCGCAATGCGCAAATAATGCTCCAAATTTAATCCCAGCTTGTTAATTCCAAAATTTTCGACTTCTTTATAATAATAATTTTGGATAAACTTGATTTTTTTGACGCATGAACTTGATATAATCCATACTTCAGGAATCACATTCTCATAAATCATAATCATCTCAAGCGATCTTTGTATTACCACTTTAGCGGAGATTGTTTTATATTAATAAAAACCCGTTCTAAACTTGGAAAAGGGAAATGTACTTATCTTTTGTATGTACAGACATTTGTTAGCTAAAGTATAGCTCTACTATTATTCCTAATACTGTTAAAACCGAAAAATATGCCTTGAATGTGGATGGGGAGAGGAGAGGCAGCTGCCAAGAACACATACAGCTGGTGGAGTGGTGGTGGAGCGTTGGGAACGAGGATTGGCTATTCGACCATCTGCAGGCTGCCTGCTGCTTGGTGGGTCAAGGCGAAGTTCGACACTAAAGTGCTGGTAGAAGTTGGCTCGGGTCTGGGTATAGCAGTGGCAGTGGGGTGGTGTCTTGTGCTGCTGTCTAATTTCGGGAGCTGTAGGAGCTAAGAGTGATGGAAGCCAAGGCGGGTTTTCGAGGTTGAAGATGGCAGTGGAGCTGGACTTGATGAGCTAGTGGTTAATACTTAAAGAGTGATTGTCTCATGGTTACTAGCAGCTTTCTTATACATTGCCCTTTGCCATTTAAACACTTATAGTCTTATCTGGCTTATTCCTTTCTTCTTCTTGCACACAATTGAGATATGAACTCATTAATAGCACATTTCCCCTTTTGACTATTATAACTTATCTTAAGTTGTTTAGATTGTACATGAAGATCACATTTTCTTTCATACGAAATTGGGATAAACATAGAATATGACCCATATTTGGATTTCTGTTATACGAAGTTTCCGTTAAGTTTTTTATTTTTTATTTTTTTAATTTTGGTTTTTGACTTTATAATTTTGAGAAAAATATTGTACAGATAAGAAAAGCTTATAAAAACGAAAGGAATAATATCTCTTTCAATAAGTCTTTTGTAAGGTGGGTGTACGTTAATTTTATTGTAAGATGATCAGTTTGAGGATATCTTTAACTATTTTTATGGTAACTTTAATCCTTAAAGGGTAACTTTTAATTTGTCGTTGGTTTGAATTTTATTTTAATATGTAATTTCTTATAGATTTATGATTACATACTCATTTTTTTTTAATTTATTTTTTTTAAAGGAAAGGCTAATATGATTAATATAATACATTATAAATTATTTATAAGATAAAATTAATTATTAGAAAAATATTACTTTTGTAGTATATTGGGTAACTATAAATACTTTTAAAATAACTTTAACCCGTCTTACAATAAATTAATGTACAGCCGCCTTTTTGAAGAATTTGTGTATCTCTTTACTTAGATATTATTTGATTAACATACTCTAATGTTAATCCCAAAATTTAAATCATATACTCCATATAAACTATTGGGAAAAGAAAAAAAAAATTCAAAAATTTGTAAATACAAAATTTATGCTTGTATTGTAATTGGAAGAACAACTTGAAAAATGTTCCTACAAACAGGGCAACTCTGCCTTTTCTTGAACCATTCATCTATACAATCAGAATGAAATACATGACAACATCCAGGAAGAACCTTACACATCTCATCATCTTCATAACCTTCTTTTAAGCAAATCGAACACCCGCTTCCTTAGGCACTTCTATGAACTTCATAGCCGGTATGAGATCGATTAGTCTCAAACCCTTCGTCTCTTGTTGCTTTTTGTTGCTGTCGTTGCCGTTGTCGTCTTCATTTAACAAGGCCACGTTCAAATGATCATCTTCAAATCGATATTGAAGATGATCTAATGCTTCAATATCCGTGTTTTCGGTACGAGGCTTGCAAAGATGGATCAACAATGTGGTAGCAAATAAGATGATGTAGAAGCAAGCCAATTCCTGCAACATAATAAAAGTCACTATTATCTGAACTACCCATTTTCTATAATTTGTATAATTTTTAGATGATGAAATCTAACTCTATTTCTAGCAAATGGGTTGGAGTTAATTTGTAGTTTGTACAACTAATATTGATGATGAAGAGGATAAACATACATTATATTAAAGTGGAGTGTAACAATAATTGCTCTAATTCTAATAATATAAAAACAAGAATAATTTAAACAATCATGCATTTAGATGACGAGGATAGGAAGTTTTGAGAGTGTCAACTGTCAAGTCTATTATTGTGACCATTATGGGATTTGTTTCTTCTTCAAGATAGATTTAACTTGATTAAGATTAATTACTACTATAAATGAAATAATCATAATTGTATTGTAATCAAAAGTATTATTTTTTATGTTAATGTCACAATAATTTTATTTATTTATTTAATTGTTTTTTTTTTTTTTTTTTTTTTTTTTGGGTTAAAAGGAGTATCAAATACGTTAAAAAAAAAAGGAAAAAATAGTACCTATGTGTGTTTCAAACCTAATGAAATACTTATTTCGTCTTCCCATTTGAATAGCCTAGTTAGCTTTATTAATTTCTGATTTAAAGAGAAGAAAAAAAAAAAAACCTCTTCCATCACATATTTTAATTTTTTTTTACGTTATTTACATATCCTACTTTGACCATTTTTTTCTTACTATCCACCTTCAAATCCACTCTCTCACCATCAAAATTCTAACCCCCTTAAAACCACTATTGAGACAATTCTAATAGGATCTCACATTATTATGTTTAATCATAACTATAAATCACAATGGCTAGTCAAAGTAGAATTTGTCAATTCAAAATTAAACATGACAACTAAAATAGAATAGAGGAAGTATATTGTAGTATTATGAATTTTGATGATAAATTGACAATCATTTACTTTACTTTTTGTGAACTGCTATTCGTCGCTCCCAATTTACAAGGCGTCGCTCCCATTTTAATATGAAGTTACCATTTTGCCCTTTGTTAATTTGGGCTATATAAGGCTCCACAATTTTGTCACAAAGATTCCCGAGCATTTTAATATTATTCCCGAGCACTTTGACCCGCCACTTGCTTTAAAAAAATTCCGAGCCCAAAAATTCCCGAGCCCACCACCAAAAATCCAAATTTTTTCAAAAAAATAAAATAAATCATCAAGGCTTAGCGACAGGTTTTGGACGATGAATGACGACAACGATCGTACACCGGAGGCATCGTCGGAAGAATCTGTAAGTCATTGAAATTCTTTTTTTTTTATGAATAGGGGACTTCCGCCCAAAAAATCCGAATCCTCCATGGAGGATCCGCCTAAGATTTCCGGATCTGCCATGGAAGATCCGGAAATTCTAGGCGGATGTGTACATACGCCTGGAATTTCCGGATCTTCCATGGCGGATCCGGAAATCTTAGGCAGATCCTCCATGGAGGATCCGGATGTTCACATCCGCCTGGAATTTCCGGATCTTCCATGGCGGATCCTCCATGGAGGATCCAGATTTTTTGGGCGGAAGTCCCATTTTCAGAATTTTTTTTTTTTTTTTTTGTATGTTATTGATTATTATGATTATTATGACTATTATTGTTGTTGTTGTTGTTGTTGTTGTTGTATTATTATTATTGGTGAGCATAAATTGGGTTGCGAAAAAAATGTGGTTTGTAGTTGTTATTAATATTGTTATTATTGTTATTGTTATTGTTGTTATTAGTTATTTTTGTTAGTATTAGTTTATGTTAATGTTAGTTAATATTAGTTAATGTTGTGATATTAGTTAATGTTAGAGTTAGTTAATAGTTAATATTAGTTAATGTTATGATATTGGTTAATGTTGTGATATTATTATTATTATTATTATTATTGTTATTATTATTGTTATTATTGTTATTATTATTATTATTATTGTTGTTGTTGTTGTTGTTGTTTTATAAATATTATTATTATTATTGTAATTATTATTATTATTGTTGTTGTTTTAAAAAAATTGTTATTAATATTATAATTAAAATACTAATATTGGAGTGTTTTGTGTGTTTTCTTTTATTTTTATAGGATTCGGAGTTTGAAGACGGCGGTAACGGGGTGAATTATAGTGCGAATTTTATCACAGACACGTTTTTTCTAACGTTTGATGATGCAGTTAAATGGGCAGATGATGTTGCCATAAATCTGGGATTTATTTTGGTTAAATCGTCTTACAACAAAACCAGAGATGGTCGATCGTATAGATATTTGAGATGTGATCGGGGACGAAAGAGCAAGCCGAGAGATCTTGAGAACGCAATTCGGAAGGATACAAAAACCAAAGCCAATGGTTGTCCTTTCTACATCAAGATATATTACGAGTTCATCACCGATAGTTGGAAGATTCTGGCAAAAAATGATGCAACTGGGATCCATAACCATCCAATGATTGTGTATCAGGAGGGTCATCGTAAAATTAGTGGCTTGAGCCCGGATGCGAAGAAGGTTGTGCGTGACATGACAAAGTCGTAGGTTGCACCGCGTAACATCATGGCGACTATTGCAGAGCAATTTTCTAATGATCATCCAAACATCAAACATGTTTACAATTGCGGAATGACTTGATAACAGAGATGTCTGATGGGAGAGGAGTTGTTCAGCAATTTCTTCATTTGGCGAGACAGAGTCAGTATATTTAAAGGGTCATGTCTGATGATCTCGGTGTTCTACAACATGCGTTTATGGTGCACCCAATCACGGTAAACATACTACGCACGTACCCACATGTGATTGGTATGGATTCGACTTACAAGACCAACCGATACGGGATGCCGTTCTTTGAGATGGTGTGACACCGACAAATCATAATTTCCTCGTCGGTTATGTGTTCATGCGCAACGAGTGCACGACAAGCTATCAGTGGGTTTTGCAGAGATTAAGAGAGTTGATTGGGTATGATAAGGAACCCTGGGTATTTTTGACA